GGGGGGGGGGGGGGGGGGCATGCCGTTATTAGCCAGCCACTCTGTCGATGCTTCATTCTGTCACCCTGACATGGTCGCATATGTACACAGTAGCACAATGTTTATGTGCAATACAAACGACTGATCTGGCTAATAGTGCAGCAGGCCCTGCTTATGGATGACAGATTGATGGATTGATTAATTCACTGATCGATTGATATTCCTGACAGTGATTATTCTGTATGAGTTTAACGGCTCCTTTTTGCCGCAGCTGAGGCACAGTGTGGAAAATGGGAAAGAGAGTGATAGCGGGAGGGAAAGTGGGGGGGTGATCAGAGGCCCCCTCCCTCGCTGCCTTTACCTCCCCCACTCCTGTTCTGTTCTGTTCTGGGGGGCGTGGTTTAGGTTGGAGTGGCAGGAACACAGGAAACTACCAAATATTAGGGCCAGACTGTGCCATGAATACAGCACAGCATGCGAGAGCCTCAGGGGCTCCGGCTTAGAGACGGCGTGCGGGGGGGGGCACCTGGCGGAGAAGCCGATGACAAGCTAGCTGGTGGGAGCCATAATCAGACAGCCAATAAGAGCCGAGAGCTACTGAACCAATGAGCTGCTAACCAATGAAATCAATGGGGATGAAATCGGGGACCAAGAATGAGCAAAGGACATGGGGGGGTGCAAATAAAAGGGATGAAGAAGCAGGAGCAGCAGGAGGGGGGAGACAAAGAGAGACAAAGAGAAGGGAAGCGAGAAAGCGAGCTGGAGAGGGACACGTTTAACAGGCTCTGATATGGTGCATTAATAACCTCATATCATGATAATGTGTGAATCAGTTTCAGCTGAGCTCTGCTGTGATGCATTTCAGTGGAATGCGACGGAGCTGTTAGCGGGGGCTGGCAGTTAGCAACACGCTTTCAGGACCGACCAAGCGCCACTCACCCCGCCCCCGCCCTCGCGCTCATTACCCGCGCTCGGGGACCGGGGTCGCCGCTTCTCTATGCCGACACCAACAAAAAGCAACGCTCTGCTCACATGGAAAACAGGGATTGAAAATAAATGACATGCTAGTCAGTTAGCGCTAGTCCATGCTTGCAAGCTAATATGGCTCAGTTAGCACTGGATCGAGCGAGCCAGTTAGCACTGCATCACGCTAACCAATTAACACTATTGTATATTATCCACTCGACACTGATCTTTACTAGCAAGTTACTTGAGATACACTAATCGTAGCAAATATGATGCTAATTGACACGTGTAAATCCATCTATACATCCATCCATCCATCCATCCCTCCATCCATGAAGACACTGCTTGCCCTGGTGAGATTACACTCCAGACATGCATACATACAAATCCAATTTCATAGCTAGACATTCAAGGAGCATGTATGGGTGCAGTGTAGCGAGTTCTTAGTTGGTCAGAATTCTCAGGGCAGATGTGCTTTTATTTTGAAGGTTTATTCTTCCTCCTGCCAGTTCCAGGCAGACTGCGTGTGTCTCGGCGACACCCGGATATTGTTTTTTCCTTTTTTATATAATAAAGACTTTGCACTCCTTCACGGGTGAAGAAGCTGCCTCCTGTCTTTTCTCCTTGCGCCACAGTAGACACACTGAGGGCCTTAAGGCAGCATTCAGGCTGCCGTTCCATTAGGGGACACAAATGAGAGAATGAAAGAAATCAGGAGAAACACCTCCGGCTGCATTTCAGGAGATTACAGCTATCTACATCAGTTTTAATATTTCACTACTTCTCTTGGGATACAGACATGATCTACATCGTTAGTAACCAGATGTGTGAAATGTTTTCATGCAATGAATCAGCAGAAATTTTCTGCTGCTCCTCTCACTGGAATGAAAGTGAAGTATCTAGAATGACCTTTAGAGGAGATCTGACCCTCTCAGGCCACCATAGGAACTTTCAGTCCATGCAGGGGTGACCTGATGGACATACAGGCACTGCTGACTGACTTCTCAGCGTCCCCCACTGTCGGGTGACATTTAGGATCCCTCTGACCCCTCACTGGCTCTCAGTGCATCATAGAGATAATTCCTGACTGGCATCCATCCAGTGATCAAAACTTTGTTCAATAAATCTCCATGTCCCCTGATTTCCTGCCCCACGATCGCCTAAATAACCGTACGCCACAAGCAATCAGAGTCATTCTACGAACCATAACATAAAAACGACAGCAACGGGAACCAGTTGAGCAGTGATCTGCGTGGCCCCCAGCTGGTCAGGCTGCAGTACAGCAGTCTCCTCAGTGAGCATTACGCATTTGGCTGCTTTTGCCATATGAGATCAGGCTTCCCGCACTGCCTCTGAGACCAGCTGGTGGAGGGCTCTGTTTACCCGGCACACACACAAACACCGATCAGTCAAGCTCAGAGCGTACACACACACTCACACTCACTCACACACACACATATATATATTCGCATTCGCCAATGGATTACAGTAACTACACCTGGCAGCGACGCACACAAATCTACATGAAGACAAACACACAGATATGTATCTGCATATACAGATGGATTACTTAAACCTGATATGCACACAAACACACAGATATACACAGATGGATTAACTGGCATGGCCACACGTACGCACAAGGGACAGACACATACAGAACACTCAAGGGTCTACTCAGACCCAGAGGCACAGAAATACACACACAGAGCGACAGAAATGCGAGCGCACTGCTGTAATGTTCTGCTGTCAGGCGGCACAAGTCGCACAACAGCTTCCCTACAGTGAAACCAAAACGCAGCAGCCGGATTCGTAAGCGGAAGGAGCAAATGTCAGCATATCGCACCAATTCTAACATCTCGCCACCAGTGCAGGAAGGGTGCCGAGATTCCCCTGCTCACTCACGAGGCACTAAAGGGCCAGGCCCCTGCTTAGCGGACCGCACGGATTAGCATGTAGCATCCAGCAGGGC